GGGGGGGGGGGGGGGGGCACGAACCGGCGGCCGCCCCTCTTGGGGCTGGACCGGCCGGGAGTCCGGGTCCAGGCGTGGGGGAGGCCCGCCCTATGCCGCGGTGGTAACGCCGGGGCGAAGGCCGAAGACCCGGGCGGGGGGGGGGGCCTCTCACCAGGCCCATGGGTGTTCGTGTACAGCTGTGGGGGGGGAAAATGGGCTGCATTTTTAATGCGACAGGTATATCTCCCCCGAAGGGGGCCCCTTTGTGCCCGGCATGAGGACATGTGGAGAAGCTGAGGGCCGCCTCCGGGGGGGGGGGGGAAGTGTGCGCCGCCTCCTTTCCCCGGCCGCCCCCGAGGCCGGGCCATTGGTGGGTCATTTGCCCGGTTTCCGGCGCGGGCGAGACCGCGGCTGGCGGGCTCGCGCGAGCGTCATGCCCAGCGCTGGCAGGGACCTCGTGTGCTTCTGGGGGGCGGGGCGGGGGGGCCAGGGTTTCTCCCCTCCTGTGGCGGCACACATGGATCGGTCCGGGGCGGGAGTTTCCTAAATTGCTTGCGCCATGTGCCGGGCGGGCGCCGGGCCCGGCAGCGTCTGCGGCGGGCGCGAGACCGGGGCGGGGCTCCGGGGCACCGGCGGGCCGAGGCGGACAATGCGCACCCCGGGCAGCGGGCCCGGGCCGAGAGACGCGGGCAGGGGGGGGGGGCGGTCTTCGCCCGGGGAGGAACGCGGCGGGCGCGGTGACTTGCGCGGGCGGGGATGCCGGGGTCGTGTAATGGGCGCGCGGGCGTGCGTATGCATGTTGTGGTAGGGGGGGGGGGGGGGGAGGGCGGCCGTCGGTGCTCCTGGCGTTCCCGGCGTTCCCGGCATCCCCGGCGGACCGCTTGCCTCTGGACAGGAGGGTCGCCGGGGCGACCGCATCTGCGGCCTGGCCGCGGGCGAGCGCCGGGGGGGGGGGGCCCCGGCCGGTATTTTCGTTTTTGCCCCTGTCGCTGTTCGGGCGCGGTGTCCGGTTCCCCTCCGCGTCCCCCCCCCCCTGGAGGGGGAAGGTCAGAACCTGGAGCGCGCCCCCACGAGGTCGGGCCAAGTGGGCGCGCCGGCTCCCGGCGTCGAGGCGGCAGCTGCCCGGGTTAGCCGTGAGCTGTGGCGTCGGGAAGGCCGCGGGGCCGTGTGCGGGTCCGGGAACGGGCGGCGGGCTTGCCCGGGCGCGTTGCGTTGTGTGTGTGTGTGTGTGTGTGTGTGCGTGTGCGCGCGGGCCGTTTGCGAAGAACACCCGGGGGCGGGGGGTCTTTCGACAGGCGGGTCTCTCTGTCGCTCCGGGGAGGCGTGTGTGTGTGTGTGTGTGTGTGGACGAGGCCGATGGTGGGCTGGCGTCGCCCGCCGGGCCGGTGCCCCGTCATGTCTCCGGCGGTGCGCGGGTGCGGGGGTGTCGGGCCCGGGGGTGCGGGCGAGTGGGGGGGTGGGGGGTGGCTTGCGGCGCCGTCGCGGCTTGCGGCGCCGTCGCGGCGTGGTCCGGCAGGAGGGGGGCCCCAGCTTGAGCGGGATGGGGACGCGGGCCGCGGGCGGCTCTTCCAGGGCTGGCTCGAACCCCGGGGGCGCGGCGTGGCGGAGGGCGGCCTGTCGTACACGCGGGCGGCGGCCGTGTGTGTGTGTGTGTGTGCGGCGCATTCTCGCACGCGCGTTGTGCCTGGGGTTTCCAGGGTGGGAGGGGGGGGAGGGCCACGCGCGCGCCTCCCGCCGCCCGGCAAGCCACCGCCCGGGGGCCGGGTACGTGCGTGTGTGTGCGTGTGAGCAGAGGGAGGGGGGGGGGGGGGTTGGCGCGGTGCGTCTGGCCCGGGACGACGGCCGTGCGCGCGGGCGCCCCAGGGACGCGCTGCGAAGCCCGCCCGCCCGCCTCCCGACCACGACCGGGGCAGGGGGGCACCGCGCGTTCTCGGTGCAGGCGTGCGTCGTTCCCCATGCCGCGGCCGGGGGCGGGCGCCGGGAGGGGGGAGGGAGGGACAAGAGTCATTCACTGCTGGGTTTATAAGGCCCCGGAGGGCCCCCCACACGCACGAGCTTAAGACCTCTCAACCGTTCATTACATTCGTCAACCCAACGAGTGTTTCGGTACCTGAGCTTCTTGTACGAACTCCCTCAGTGTCACCGCTGCCGCCCTCGCTCCCTCCTCCCCCCCTCTCTCTCCCCCTTTGCTCCTTTCGCTTCTCCCCACCCCCCTCTTGCACGCACGCCTGCGACTCGCCTTCTCGCGCGCCCCCCCCCCCCCTCCTGCGACTCCGTGTGTCCGCCCGCCCCCGTGGCGTCGCGCAGTTGTGCCTGCCGCGCCCCCCCTCCCAGCACCGCCTGCCTCCCCTTGAAAGTGTGCCCGCGCGCCGGTCCTAACGCCCCAGCCCCTCTCGTCCCCCCCCCTTTCTCCCTCCCCCCTTCACCGCCTGTCTCCTCGCCTCCTCCTCCCCCCTTCGTGTGTGCCGCGCGGCAGCTTCTGTTTTTGGTTGTATCCATAACTCGAAGTCGAGTCAAAACCCTTTAACAGCAAAGATGGTGCGTCCTCTCGCCGCGCTCGGTGGCGCGCCCCCTCCTCCGCACTCCGCGCACGCGCCCGGGGCCCGGCCAATGGATTCTAACCACATCGTCCCGGCTCTTCGGCCCCGTCCTCTCCTCCGCGCGCCTCCCCCTCCCCGGCACAGGTCAACTTCTCCGTCGACCAGATCCGTGCTCTCATGGACAAGAGCAGCAACATTCGTAACATGTGTGTTATTGCTCACGTCGATCACGGCAAGTCCACCCTCACCGATTCCCTGGTCCACAAGGCCGGTATTATCGCCTCCTCCAAGGCCGGTGAGATGCGCTACACCGATTCCCGCCAGGATGAGCAGGACCGTGGTATCACCATCAAGGCCTCCGCTATCTCGATGTTCTTTGAGCTCGACGACGAGGAGGACGTCAAGGAGGTTGCCCGCCACCAGAAGACCGAGGGCAACGGTTTCCTCATCAACCTGATTGATTCGCCGGGTCACGTTGACTTCTCGTCCGAGGTCACCGCCGCCCTGCGTGTCACTGATGGTGCCCTGGTCGTCGTCGATTGCGTCGAGGGTGTCTGCGTCCAGACCGAGACCGTGCTTCGCCAGGCCCTCGCCGAGCGCATCAAGCCCGTTGTCATCATCAACAAGGTCGATCGCGCCCTGCTCGAGCTGCAGCTCGACAAGGAGTCTCTGTACCAGAACTTCCAGCGTGTGCTTGAGAACGTCAACGTCATCATCGCCACCTACTTCGACGAGTCCCTCGGTGATGTCCAGGTCTACCCCAACAAGGGTACCCTGGCCTTCGGTTCCGGTCTGCACGGCTGGGCCTTCACCATTCGCCAGTTCGCCAAGCGCTACTCCCAGCGCTTCGGTGTTGCCATGGACCGCATGATGGAGCGCCTGTGGGGTGACAACTTCTTCAACCCGGCCACCCGCAAGTGGACCAAGAACGAGACCGACGAGTCGGGCAAGCCCCTGGAGCGTGCCTTCAACATGTTCGTCCTCGAGCCGATCTACCAGCTGTTCACCAACATCATGAACCCCAAGGCCGACAAGGAGAAGATCTTCGCCATGATCGAGAAGCTCGGCATCACCCTGCGTGGTGAGGAGCGCGACCTGACCGAGCGCCACCTGCTCCGTTGCGTCATGCGCAAGTTCCTGCCCGCCGCCGACGCCATTCTGGAGATGCTTGTCATCCACCTGCCGTCCCCGGTTCTGGCCCAGTCCTACCGCGCGGAGACCCTGTACGAGGGCCCGAACGACGACGAGTGCTTCAACGGCATCAAGAACTGCGACCCCAAGGGCCCGCTCATGCTCTACGTCTCCAAGATGGTCCCCACCTCGGACAAGGGCCGCTTCTACGCCTTCGGTCGTGTCTTCTCCGGTACCGTCCAGACCGGCCAGAAGGTCCGCATCCAGGGCCCCAACTACACCCCGGGCTCCAAGGAGGACCTGTTCGTCCGCTCCATCCAGCGCACTGTCCTGATGATGGGTCGCTACGTCGAGGCCATCGAGGACTGCCCGGCCGGTAACATTGTCGGTCTGGTCGGTGTTGACCAGTTCCTCGTCAAGACCGGTACCATCACCACCAGCGAGACTGCCCACAACATGCGTGTCATGAAGTTCTCCGTCTCCCCGGTCGTCCAGGTCGCCGTCGAGGTCAAGAACCCCAACGATCTGCCCAAGCTCGTTGACGGTCTCAAGCGCCTGTCCAAGTCCGACCCCCTGTGCCTGACCTACCAGTCGGAGTCCGGTGAGCACATTGTCGCCGGTTGCGGTGAGCTGCATCTCGGTGTCTGCCTCAAGGATCTGGAGGAGGTCCATGCGGCCATCCCCCTGAAGATCTCCGAGCCGGTTGTGGCCTTCCGTGAGACCATCACCGCCAAGTCTTCGGTCACTTGTCTGTCCAAGTCCCCGAACAAGCACAACCGTATCCACATGGATGCCTCTCCCTTCCCCGAGGGTCTGGCTGATGCCATCGAGTCCGGTGAGATCTCCATCCGTGACGATTCCCGCACCCTGATCAAGAACCTCGAGGAGAAGTTCGAGATCTCCAACCTCGATGCCCGCCGCCTGTGGGGCTTCGGTCCGGAGAACACTGGTGCCAACTTCCTGTACGACTCCACCACCGCTGCCCAGTTCATGAACGAGATCAAGGACTCGTGCATGACCGCCTTCCAGCTGGCCACCCTCGAGGGTGTCCTGTGCGAGGAGAACCTCCGTGGCTGCCGCTTCGACATCATGGATGTCACCCTGCACGCTGATGCCATTCACCGTGGTGGTGGCCAGATCATCCCGACCACTCGCCGTGTTGTCCACGCTGCCCAGCTGGCCTCCAAGCCCGCTCTCCAGGAGCCCGTCTTCCTGGTTGAGATCCAGTGCCCGGAGACCTCCATGGGTGGTGTCTACTCCGTGCTGAACCGCCGTCGTGGTACCGTCTTCTCCGAGGAGCAGCGCCTGGGTACTCCCCTGTACACCATCAAGGCTCACCTGCCTGTCATGGAGTCCTTCGGCTTCAACGAGGATCTGCGCGCCAACACCGGTGGCCAGGCCTTCCCCCAGATGATCTTCGACCACTGGGCTCTCATGAGCGGTGATGTCTTCTCCGAGGGTCGCCTCCGTGAGACCGTCACCAAGATCCGTGTCCGCAAGGGCATGAAGCAGGAGATCCCCCAGCTCGACGACTACAACGAGAAGCTCTAAGCGCGCATTTCCCCCGCCCCCCTCTCTCGTTCTCTCTCTCTCTCTCCTTCCCTCCGCCCCTCTGTGGGTGGAGGGGGCGGGGGGTGGCAGCCGGGAGAGGGCCGCTCTTTGTGCGCCGCGCGCACGCGCCATGTGCGTGTGTGCGAGGACCCTCTCTTTCGGGCCCCCGGCTCTCCGTTCTTTCGCTCTCTCCCCCCCCCCCGCCCAGCACTTGCGCGCATGTGTGCATGTTGGCGGGTGGTGGTGGTGGTGAGGGGGCCGGGCGAGAGAGAGGAGGGGGCACGATGTGTGTGTCTTTCCCCCCCCCCGTGTGTCCGGACAAGAGAGCCCGCCGGCGGCGCGCCCCCAGCGCCGCGTGTGTGTGTGTCCTCTCTCTCCCTCCTCCCGGGGAAGAAATATACCTCTTCTCAGCGCATCCCATCCCCCCTTTCGGTGTCCTGTTTTTCGCTTTTGTGCTGCGGTGGTGTGCGGGCTCGGCTTCTTTTTTTTCCCCCATGCTGGGGGTCCTCCATTCCACGCATCTGGGGCAGGCGCACGCCTCTCTCCACCACCGCACAAGGGGAGAGGAGGCGGCGACAGAGAAACATGACTAACACAGAGGGAGGGAGTATGCGTGTATTATTTGTTTGCTGCGCAGGCGAGGGGCACGACCGCTCGCGGGGGTGCGTGTGGCAGGCGG